TTTTTCTTTTGTCAAGCTCTGCTACCTTGACATAAGATGGCAATGGTCCAATCTGTACGTCTCCTTGCTCAGGAACAACTCCCTCTTCTGCATTTGGATCAATGTAATCATACACCTCTTGGTCTAGTGAGGATTGAGGAAGAATGGAAAAGATGGTATTAAACAGTTCTCTCAACTAAATGTTATTCCTTAGAGATATGAGTACTTAAGAAAAATGTCAGATAAAGATAAAACAATGAAATCATGTCTCCTTGAGCTAGAAATAATCTCTTTTTTTTTTTTTCTTGTCTTGACTATTTGTGATTATTACATTGTTGTCCGAAATGATGAAAATACAATGCCAACATGTGATCATATCATTTTCTGCAACTTTCTTTTCTTAGATTACCTCAGCAAAAGCATTTCTGTTACCTAAAATGACAGATGGACAACACATATTACCTTTCTGTGGATCGAGTTTACTTCCCATTACATGATTGTCATTCCTTAATGTCTGTTCCCTTGTTGATTCTGATACCTGGGAGTGAAGACTGATCGTGTCATCATCAGATGGCTGCAAAGACAGTCACATTTACTACAGAAATTACATACCAACTATATTACTATATCATTTGCTAACAACTCACAAATTATAGTGCAACTGACCCTATCGTGAGGGATGGTTCCCAGGACAGAGGAAATAACATCAAGTCAGGTGGAGTTTTTTTGTGGGTGAGGTTTTTTTGGGGGTGGGTGGGAATGGGGTTCAAGAGAATCATAGTTTGGGGAATGATAGACAACTGTTCAGTATGTAATGCTGAAATACAATATTTTATTCAAAGAGGTCCAGTCCAGCCCCGGTCAGTGGACTAAGAAAACTATATTTAGGTACTTCCCTATCTAAAGCCTCCAACTATTTTGACCCTTGTTAGACCACTGAAAGAAAAAAAGAAAAGTCTCAGTTTTACTTCTAATCATTTGGAATTTTCTTAAAATAAACCCAGCTAGTAATACTCCTTGTTCTACAATTTTCCCACTAACAATCACTCCACATTTGTAATAATTCTCTTTCTAAGTTTCAAAAATCTTATGTTCTACACTATTCAGCTTTGACATCATTGTTATTAGTTACAACTCCTTAACCTAGCTTTCTACAATACACAGATATCTTGTAGGGATTTTTGTTCATCACTTTAAACCTAGCAAATCATTCAGAAGTTCATTAAAATTTAAACAACGAGGATTAGTAACATATACAACACTCAAGTTTAGTTCAAATAAACTTTCATTTTAAGTACATTCATTTCATTAATAACAAAAGAAAGTTTCAAATAAATTTTGTCCTTTGTGTAGAAAATAATTATGCACTTCACACATTAGAAGATCCAAACAATTCCTTAGATCAGAATTCAGTTTTAAAATGTATGAAATTTGGACTAGAATGAACCTTAACCAGAAAAGTAAAAGCCATATGTAAATAATTTGTGTCTGATACTGGCATTCTAATGGCTTAAACTCAACTGTAGAGATATTCAAAGAATGTTAAATGCAACTTAGTTAAGTATTTCTCAAATGATACAAAATTCAAAGAAAAAAATCCTCTAAAAAACCCACACAAATTACACAAATTCAACAGTGAAAAATACGCACTTCTGTTGTGGATAATCTTTTATCCCCATTATCACTTCCGATGCCAGAGTCTGGTCCATGATTTTTATTGGGATAAAAGTCCTCCATGCTACATTAAGAAAAACACACAAAAAAACCCACAAAGGAATGAAAGAAACAGTATTTTCTTTTAGAAAAGTGAAACTAAACATCCTTTTAAAAATGTTCTGTATACTCATCTACAGTCACTGATGCAGAATTTTTGCACAATATCCCACGTGCAGAGAAAAAATTCTTCATCTCCTACAGCAGTTGTTCAAGAAAAAAGTATCAAAGCAAAGTTAAAGTGGAAACAATCAATTATGGTACTCTCTATAGCTACACAATTTTAGAATTATTCTACTTCATTCAAAAATACTGCCTTCCGAAAAGAAGTATTCCCCTGAAACAACATAATTCCTTGCATTCTACTAGCAGACATCGTTTTCTGCTAGTAGCAAATATACATCCCCTAATAGACATATTACAATGATTTAACTCTGCCTGAATATCTACGAAACATTTCCTCCAAACTTATGCCTTCCAAAGATACAAAATTGGCAGCACCAGCAGGATGTGTTTTCCAGCTGTGCACCAGAGCTTGGTTTGAATTATAAGATTATCTGGAAAGTGTAATTAAACAAGTTCTCACTACTACAAATAAGACGTACAGTGGTAATACCCATGACTTTGTTCCTCTGCAACAAATTTTAGTTGTAGGCCTTAAGTTCAGTGGAGGCTTTTGGGGAGCAGTTGTGAACTACAGTTTTTAGGAGCATTTAGAAGCTATCTACAGATGCTGTGGACTAATTCCCTATGGCACAGTTGTCTGAGACTAAGACCATGTGCTGAATCTGATGGTTCAGATGGTTCTGTGTAAGCTTTATTCATAACTTTCATCTTTCCTTCAGCCTTGAACACAGAGAGGCACAAGTTGCACGTGACATTTTAAGAAAATAGGCAAAAAGGGTATTGTTCCATATAGTTTCCAATGGCAAGCCAAATAACGACAGAAATTACAAAAGCATTTCCACCATTTAATTACTCAAGAGATACTCAATACAAAAGCCCCCCAAAATATTCTGCACTTTTTGACCTCAATTAATCTAATAAAAAAATCCATGATATTGCACTGATGTTTAGGTAGTTTCCCTTAATACATATGTGGGAGGCAGATTTTCCATCCAACAGACTAACTCTAGATTCAAGACATTTATGGGAACTTCTCATCTACTATTTTGACATATCTGTTTTGGAGCTGAGTTTTCCAATAAATAAATTTAAAACACATCTTTGTTCTGATTTCCAAATCTTTAGTGAGTACAATGAAAATTTTTCATAGGAACTCAGATGGGCCAATTAAGCTTCCACTAACACGACCTCAGAAAACAAATACTATGACCCCTAAGTAAAGAACAAACAAAGTATTGAAATTACACCTATTACCTGCAATAAACATCATTTCACAGCAAATGCTAAAGTACAATGAAATAAAAAATCCACTACTCACCTGTCTGTGAGTGGCTGGGAGGGGATCCGTTTACCTAATGACGGAAGATCCAAAGAATCTGGTTTTTTATCTATTCTGAGGCACGCCTGAATGCTGAGGAACTTAAATATATGTACTTTACCCTTTAAACATATCTGTCGGGAAACAAATGAACAAAAAAAATGTTAATTACATAGCATGTCTTTTGAAAATGCACCCCAGCAAATATTTTCTACACTGAGTTTGCACCTACAACTTCCCACCAGGAGAAATACAGCTCAAAAAACAACAAAAACCTGATTGGTATAACTTGGAACAGCTTCTTTCTTAAGATCCTAATGCATATTTCTGAACTAGAATGCTTTAATACTAACCTGTGCTGGTGGTATCTGCATTGGATTGTTATCCAAAACTATAACTTGTAAGTGACGTAACTTTCTGTAACAAATTGGAATTTCTGTGATTTTATTACAAGAAAAATCCAGCTTCACCAAGGGAAGGTCTCCTAACTCTGCATTGCAGGAAAGAAAACAAAACAAAAGAATCAGGTATCTTCTTAACACTACCTAATATATCTACATCAAAGAAATTAAGATTAGTAGCTTACCATCTGGCAACATATGGAGGTTATTTCTTCTTATGTTTAATTCTCTAAGTGACTGCAATTTTCCTATCTGTTGGGGAAGAACCTGAAGTTCATTGCAGCTAATATCCTAAGAAAGACATAATTAATAAACTGAACATCTTAAATTAAATTAAACAAAGGAAAATTGCTATCAAAACTACTACAAAGCATGCTATAAAAAAAAAAGAAATCCTATCTTTCTTGTTTTTTCCCCAAAGGGAAAAAGTGTCGTAACAGATCTTGCTGTTTCTTCGGTATTTAGTGATTTATGTTTCAGAAATTCAATTCAAAAAGTTAAATCAATGAATGCTGAAAGACTGGTTTTGAGATTAAAACTGTAGCCTAAGAAACTGGAGTTCCTGCTGTAGTTCCCATATCACTTAAAACCCTCTTGTGCTACTGCTGGCAAGTGTTTTGCATCCTGCTCCTTTTATAAAAATTCTTCCTCCTTAAAAAACCTTGAACTAATCCATGCAACCAAAAATCTACAAAAAGCAATAGCAGGCCCACTAACTTTTTGGATACCAGCTCTATAGGGTGACAACACTGCACCAAGCGAACACAGACTACAGCTATTTCTACCACTTATTTAACATTTATTTACATAGTCCAGACCAAGTCAACAATCACACTGATATAAAACTGTTCTAACTTTTTTTATTTCTGATTCAATAAAACTGACTTCAAAGACTAGGTTCCTAGTCCCAGATGAAAAACTGGAAGTTGATTTTAATTGCAAGCTGAGTCAGGAACCAGAAGCCAGGCCTTAACCAGACCAATCTAACCTCCTCCTCCACTACATGCTTCCGGAGCTTCAGCTTAGGCACTGCTCATCTGCTTTTGGCAACCACAATTTCTACACATACTGGATGTCTCGGAAAGTGCAGGCTGCTTGGGATCAACTGCTGTAAATATATCGCAAGTTCTTCTCTGTCCACGTCACCAAATTTAAGATGGGATTCCTCTCCTAAAAGCATCTTTCTAGCACGTGGCTTCATTGTGAACCTTTTGTGGTTTTTTTTAATGTATATATTACTTATGTTCTAAACAGGTATTACACAGGTACTGGAATGAAACTCTCTAGTATGTCCTTAATCTGTGTCATCAAGCACACATTTTGAAAAATAAGACAAAAATACCACAACTGTAATTCTGAAAAATATTCACTTCCTGTAAACAACAACAGTGATCCCACCTTGAAATCCTCTGACATTGAAGTAAGCATAAAGCATTTGTCACCAAGGAGTAGAGGACATTAGAAAAGCTTCACAAACATACAGAATCTTTCAGATTACTTGTAAATTAAAAAAGAATCTTAATTTACAGCTTAGAAATTAGGTCATGTTAAAAGAAATCTCCAGGTTATACGCAGCTACTCTGGAAACAGGATAAGGACTGCTTGCAATGACCAAAGAAATCATACATACTGAAGAAAAAAAAAAACCAAACATAGTCAAAGTGCCAGGTTAGTGAATAACTGTGCGTAGTTCTCCAAAACACATGAGCTTAACATGGAGTAATGATTAGAAAAGCCTGGAATATTAAGAAATACAGAGAAAGTAAAGGATGACAAAGCACAAAACTTCAGTGTGCCATAGGATAAAATCATGTTGCACAGACACCTAAACTGTGAATACTACACATCATTCTATTCACCCCAAACAAAATTAAGGAATAGCAGAAATGGGGGGCGAAGGCGTGGAGAGAAGGGGAACCACGACACAGAACAAGACAACAATGATTGAATGGCAGAACTTGTATAAGAGTACAGAGTAAAGAAATGAACTCTTCAGTTGGAAAGAAGATTCCTGATAACATATAAGAAAAAGAAATAAAATTATTATTATTGTAAAGAAGGTAAACAGAAAAATTCACCATTTTTAACAACATACAAGTAAGGAACTCAAATGAAATAATCTGAAGTGTGATTTTATTTATGAACACCTTAAGCTTTAGTTAACTCCATACCGATTTGTGTTTAACCCCATTTTTCAAACTCTACAACATATTACACCTGTAATTTCAGCTCAAACACTAAGAAAAAGCAGTAACTGCATTTAAACTTTGTAGTTCTGTATTTAAAAAGTAATAATTTATATTTTTATTATACTGTAAATAAATTATTATAGTTTAAGGTTACTTAGTACAATGCTTCACAATTGTACTTACCAACTCCATTAGATCTCTCAACTTTCCAATTTCTTCTGGAATGGAGACCAGCTTATTATTACTGACAACCAGAACTTTAAGTGGAAGATCAAACAGGTATTTTGGCAACGTTGATAAAAGATTTCGACTTGAAAGAAAGAAAAATGAACAAGCAAGGCTAGATCATAATCTTCTTTTAAAGCCTGATTGGGAGTCTGAGATACACATTGTACAACTTATCTCCTATTCCGCAAGATATTCTCCACCTAGCACAATTCCATCTACAGTTAAGCTACAATCTCTGTCATTAATTCCTTACCAAAGTCCTCTCAGATATGTGAATTTTAGGTCCCCATCTTGCTTGATGAAACAAGCATGTACTATAACTGAATCTAGCACTAAAATGTAGAGAGAAATCTGTTAAGAGAAACAATATTTGTAATGTTTGCTTTTATCCTGCTTTCCGATACCTTCAGAAGGACCACCTGATCTGACAGTCTACCAAAATAAAGTTCATGTTCTCAGCAAACCAGAACTTTATAGGCGGCCATTGCTTCTCAAGTCATGTGGTCATGTCATCCTGAGCCATCACAAAAAGCCCTTAACATCTATTACTGTGCTGAGCAATAGATTTGAAAGTAAGTTTTAATTACAATTTATTTCTTTTGTGTACATCATTTTCAAACTGCATGCAGGTATGTCTGCTTTCTACACAAGAGATATACTGTTACCGACAATTTGATTTAAATCCATATTGGAAAAGCTACCAACTGCAGATTGCCACTGCCAGAAACACACGGAATTTTTCTAAAAAGGTACTTGTACATTTAAAAAAGCCATTGGAAAACCAGCCTGTTCAGATGTGGCATGAAAACAATTCCTTTCATATCTAAAAGTAAAAAAAATTTCAGTAATTGCTGTTGCTTTAAGTAGAACTGTATAGAGGTCAGTTCTATTTAAAAAAAAAAAAGGCAAAACAAAAAGCTTAAATGTTGACATTTGAGTTCACACTGTATTAAGAAAAACCCAGAAGTTTCACTGTTTAATTGATGTGTATCAGAGTCCTGGTTTCGTATTCAAAAAACTCCAAAGCTTTTTACATTATTTTTCTCCATGACTACAGTTTGTAGGGCTGCAAAAGCAACAAAAATAAATTTATGTCCTTGTAACATTTCAGCTTCAAAGAAGTACTGCTATGTTAACACAATAAAATGAAAGTAAACATCTATAAGTATCTTTATAGAAGTAATGTATTTATTCTATTAATTCTAAGTGAACAATACAAATAAGTTTTGAACGTAGTTATGCAGTAATTCTGTTTATGTTGTATTTCAGGTAGATACGACAGGCGTTTTTGGTTGGAGAACATAAGAAGCAAAAATATAATGTGCAAGTAAACTTTTTTAATTGATTTGTTTTTTGCATCACTTAAATTTCTTGGGTTTTGTTTTAAAAAAAGAGAAGCCTACTTTACTATGAATTGCACAACACATTTCTTCAGTCATCTGAATCCAAATTTAGAATTTGAGATCATGTGGTTTTCTTCTGTAACAAAATATTGATACTAGTAAGCCAGTATTTTAGCCTGTTCTTCAACTACTATAGTCCACATGTTCACGCACTGCGAAAATAGTTCTCAGACATTAGCACAAAAATGAAGACAAAGCACAGTAAGGCAAACGATCATTAGAAGAGAAAAAACATGCAATGCCCAGTAAGAACTACACGCTATTATTTCTGTGTAAAAAATTCTATTGAGCACCTCAATTGCTATCAGAAGATAAATGGACTGTTGCTGCTCTGTGAAGAAAGTTAGGTCAAACTTCTTTCAGAAAACACTGCAGTTATAGCATTAATCCTCCGTAGAATTGCCACAGAACAGATTACTCTTAAATTATCAGTATAAGTACTGATATTTCCAGATTTTGAGACAAAGGGGATTTTTCTTTGGTTGAGTTTTTTGGGGGGTTGGGTTTTTTTGTTGGTGGTGTTTTTTTGTGGGTTTTTTTGGTTGGTTTGGGTTTTTTTTATTTGGTTGTTTTTTTCTTCTGCTTTTTTCTTTTCCAAGGACCAATTCACAAAGTTTTTTCAAAATAAATTCTGGAACCAAATCTCACATGTTAAATAGCTCTTAGCTGAGAAGAATGTTTTGGACTTGATGCAGTCAATGTAAGAAACAAGGAATATTGTGGAAAACAGGGTCTTAGCTTGTTTTGGGAGGGTTCTTCTAGATTCCCTCTACTTCCAGAGCCCACACTCATCTTCTGTTCTTCCGAGAAGATCCAACCATACGTTTTCCAAGTTTAAGAACAATAATACAGCAATGGATGTAAATAATGTACAAAATGAGTAGGGCCTTCTGGTCAGAGTAATCTACCCTCTTGAGAGCTGCAAATTTTTACAAGTGTAGTTTCTAAACATTGTCTGTCTGCATAACATTAAAAACAAAGAAAACTTTGTAAATTCTTAACCTCAGCTACCATAGTTTACTGACTGAAACTTCATAATGCAGTCAATTCCTTCCCATAAAGGAAGCAACAACTGCTGGCCCTAAAACACCAAGGATAAGGCAAGCAAACAGAGTAATTTTATCTGTCCAGGCAAAAATGAGGGCACAAGGTCACTCAATGACCTGATGAAGTAGAATGCCACCTCTCCAATGAGATAATTTACATAAAGACCAGAAATAACAAGCATTACTCACCTAATGTTAAGGTAGGTAAGCATTTGCAGGTTTTTAATAGATTCTGGAATGGATTTGATGCAGTTGTGATACAAATTTAAAGTTTCCAGTGGTGCAAACAGCCAGACATCAGGAGGAACTTCAGTAAATCTGTTCCTTGAAAGATCTAAACGCCAAAAAAAAAAAGTCCTTTTGAGTCAAAAATTTCCCCGCAGTAAGAGGAGATAAAAGTACCCACTGTTATTCTTGTCATGCTCCTAAAAATTAAGGTGTTGCAAAAAGTGTAAAATAATTCAGTTTTACCAGATGCTACTGCATATAATGAATACACAAAAAAGACTTAAAATACTAAAAGATTATTGTTTGATATGCAATTATAACAGAAAATAGAAAAACTCCAGGAATTAAAAAATGTAGTATCCACTACATAATTAAGAATATTCAAAATGCAACTGAATATCAATTATAATTGTCCCTCCTCTATCAGTCTTTGTTCTCTGCAACTGTTGGCTTTTCCTTTAATTCTAGGCACAACAGTAAGTCAGGGTACAAACCCAGTAAACCTTACTTTCCTGTTTGACAGCTACATTAGAATCTAATCTCATTGTACAAAATACCTGCAATGCTAAAGTCAAGTTTGTTAGAAAACCTTAAATGTTTATTTTGCTTAAGAACTACAATTCTTACCAAAAAAATCCTTTATTGCAAGTACAGTAACTGAGACATTCTCCAGTTATGCATTTATAACTTAGCTAAAAAGAGAATAAAGTTGCAAAAACCAATGCCAAATACATTTAACTATAAAAATAAGGATGCAGTTTAGCCTAGCTTAAGAGCAGCAAGAGGAGATATCTTTGACAATGGACACATAATACTTGAACTAGAGTTATTTTCACAATGCATGACTGCATTATGGGAATCTGCACCCAGAAGATATGAAAAACCAGCACAGTACAAAAACACATACCATCTCTGACTATATGAAATCTTTAAAAAGACCAGAAAATTCAAGTACTATGTGACCCAAGAATCCTGGAAATTACCAGTTAACTACCAAAACCTGTGTCATAAAAAGTCCATGAAACTATCTTGGAAGAACCAGATATTTACTTGAGAATGACTGTGTAATTTTTTGACAGTAACTCTGGTTTCCAACCCAAGATATTTCAAAAGGATGTGGTTTCTCAGAAACGCTGAACAAACTCTTTTAACAAAGCAGCAACACAGATCCCTTGCTATTTCAGTCTCCAGTTCTCAGTTTTTAACACTTGCATGAAATAACTGTGTTTCTGCTTAGCTCCTATCACATTATCATTGGAATAAACATATAGAGTGTTCTGCACTATACTGAAAAAACAGACTAGAAAGTGGTTGGAAAAGTGGCTCAAAGTCACCCTCCGGCTCAAAGAAGAAAGCTCAACAGCCTGAAGTATAACTGACAAACCAGCTAAGAGCGGCATTTCTTGGGGCCAACACTGGAATCAGGATCATTTAGTATCTTCATCAACAACCTGGAAAACAGGATAGAATGTGCCCTCAGGAAGCGCACGGACAACATCAAGCTGGAGGGAGTGAAGAGGCAACTCACATACTGGAGGTATGGGATGACAGCCAGAGTGACCTCGACTGTCAGATGCTCCATCCAGTTTAATAAAGGTAAATACAAAGACTTGCACCTGTGACAGAACTCCTCACACTAGTGTGGGCTGGAGGACAAAAGGGTAGAAGCTAGCTTTGCAGAGAAGAACACACAATGCTGGTACACAACTGGCTGAATGCAAGTCATCAGTGTGCCTGGCAGTGGGGAAGGCCATCCACAGTGTGCTGCAGACACGCATCAAATAAAATTGACTGGTACAACAAAGTATCACCTTCCAGTGACATTATTTTTGGAAGTAGCCTCAACTTTGCTTCCTGAAGTCTAGAATATGTGAAATTTTTAAGTTAACTGGCTGTCACTCCATTGTTCCATTATTTCTAAGAAACATTCTCAAGCTAAAGTATCACAAAGCTCTCCTTAGGGCATCCACTACTGTCACTGAATTCTGCAAATTCTAGCTGCAAGGAGTAGAAAGAGAAAGATCTAGGTTGCAGGACTGAATGAAAAATGGAATAAAGTTAATAAAAACTAAACATCCCAACTAAAATTAAAAAGCTTATTAAAATTTTAGCAAAGCTTGAGAAAGTTTTCATAATAATGAGGTTTATTTTCTGTTTTCCACCACATCAATTTTCAAAACATTATAGAAAAATGGCAGCTTTCACATGAAAGGATTTTCTGCAAAACCATTTTGAGGTTAAACAAAGGCTCTGTTATCCTAATATTCAGCAGAGTAGATGCACAGAAAAGATCAGAAAATATGCACACAGTTTTATTGCTGGCAGAGTTCTACAGCGTCCATCAGATGATGAACAGTCAGTCTTTGATACAATCTCATTCTGAAAAAATCAGCTCTAAGACTCTTCCTGGTTTTGTTTTATCAGTAGCTGGAAAGATAACCGAAGGCTAGTACAAAGACCCAGCCCACAAAATAGAAATCACAAAATCCCACCCTACTGCCACTGCTCCAATCTGAACTGGAATATTCAAGAGCACCATGAAAATTCTGCTGCTGTATGTGCATCCAGCCATACCCCAACCACGTCTTGGAAAGACACAGGTTAAAAAACAGCTTTGCCATTTCTTCTGCAGAAATAAAACCCAGAGGTGGGCCAGACAATAACTATAGTGTGCACCAACTCTCTGCTCTGGACAAGGAGTGGACCAGGACTGTAGTACTCAACAGGCAATACAAAACCAGCTGTGGTTTCTAACCTGGCCTGACAAAAATCACATAAGCACAGCCTGGGTGATGTCCCTTAGTGTACACTTGTACAAAACCCATACAATTTCACATTAGAAGAAAATATACAAATATGTGAAATTGGTATATATTACTGTTGAAAACACTTCCCTGAAAACAATGCCTTCAGACACTGTGGGGCACTTTTCCATTATGAAACACAAAGTGATAGCCTTTATCTGTCAATAATAACATAAAAAAGGTAAATAAATAGTTGGAAGATAGTATGACTTCTCTTCCAAGAAATTTTTCATTTATTCATTGCAAAACAGTATTAGAATAGCCCCAGGGGTTCAGATCTTTCTAAAGAGAAAAAGATTCAAGTGTATAGTTTTCCACAACATTCATATATCAAATGTACCCAACAGCTTTTTTCAAAAAAAAGCAATGCTATTCTTTATCCAAACTGAAAAATGACTTCTACTACAGAAGTGTTCACACAACGAGCAAGAAATTTGTAAGATGAGTTCATCTATTATGCTAAATAAAATGTAGCTGTGAAGCTTATGCAACGCAGGTACCTTTTGAAGATTAACAACCCAATGTATGGCTGAAAAAATATTGTAAGAAAAAGAAAGGAAACTTCTGGAGTAGAGTGGTCCTCTATAAACAAGATAGACTTCATCTCAATCAAAATGGAAGCATGTTTCTGGCACTTAAAATGTGAATGGTTTTGTAGCGGTTAATAGACTGAAGCAGCAAGGAAAGCCACTAAATGCAGAACCACAGACAATTTAAGATGACAACTCCTCTAGGAGAGAGATTATAGGAATTCTTTGCTTAACCAGTTTAGACTGGAAAACTCTAAACTGGGGGTATTACGTGAAGACTAACTAGAAGACACTATCCACGACTCCTCATGGATCACAGGGTATTTCAACTCACTACCTCTACAGAAACAACAAGGGAGAAGTACACCATTACTAAGGTTAAATTTAAAAGGGGAACTACAAAAATATCAAGAAGTTGATTGAGGCTTAGCTCGTTTTTAACAGAAAGAGTAAAGTCCTTACTGACTGTAAGACAATGATTAAAAGACAATATACTGAAAGTTCAAAAGGAAAGAATTTTAGTAAATCAGCCAGAGTTTGAAGAGGGAGCTATTAGGAGTAAGAATGTATCTTGTATAAATTTAAGCCATGATCAAAAGGAAAAACAAAAAGCTCAAGCTGTCAGGTTAGAGCAGTCTGCAGTAAGGTAGTCAAATAGCACTAACATCATGTTTGCCTTGTTTTTGCACTTTTTCCTAAGCATTCATTACTGCTTACTATCAGAGGCATGCTGCTAGAATGGACTGGCCTTTTATTTGATCCAGTACAATCATTTTTATACTCAGATTTTGCATACACTACATGTTGAACTTGAAATACAAGGCTTAGTTGGGAAATTTACACTTAAACCTCATCTTGATGTTGTAACATTTTTCATAAAAATATGCTGATCCATGATATTGGTGTTGGGTTTTTGTTTGCCCAAAGTGGTCCAAAATTTTACTTAGAAACTAGATTGAAAAGAAAGCAACACTCCCCTCTCAACCCAGATCTGCCCTCCTAACTCATAATATGTACAGATTTTCCTAGCCAGTATTTCTAGTAATGCTTTAGCCAAGCCTAAGCCAAAAAATATCGAAGCACAACAGCAACTATATTAATTAGTCCTACAGAAGTCAGTGAATGTATAAAATTGTAAGTGTTCAGACCTGATTCTAAAGATACACTTTTAGCCGATCTAAACACAAACCTGAGATCAACACTCAGAACATAGATAAAAATTTATTAGTCTGTCAGATGCAAGATGATTCTGGAGAAGAAAAAAAAAAAGAAGTCTCAAACACTGCAGAAACACCTGCGTATGGTAATTCCAAGAGGCAGAAGTTTTCCATGTCCACAAAACACTCAGTCACCTTATAATTCAAATCCCATAACAGTTAAAAGTTATATTGAACAACAACAGCATTAAAAAAAAAAACACCTCAGTTTAATTATTTCACACAGCAATTATTAATTCATTTGACAAGCCAATGCTACTGAAGGAAAACAGGCATGCAGGCAAATGTTTTTACTTAGTGTAATGCTCCAAAACCACCTTATGACCACATGTCCTATCAACTACTCTTCTGTTACACAAATACCCCGTCTTTCTTTTCCTCCCATCTCAAACCGAAAGCCAAGTCTCTCTCCTTGAGGAGGGTCCTACAAAGAAGAAATTTTCAGATTTGTGTTTTATCTGATGGGGTTCCAAGAGCGATATCAACAACGCAGACAAGACTAAGGCTTTACTAACCTGTCACCTTCACTCACAACTAAGGACATTCTTTAGCTTC